GTACGTGGCAAGGAGTAGGGTCGCCTGTCCAACCTCGTGGGTTTTCTCCGGGTCCTCCGGTTTCCTCCCACTGCTAAAGACCCCTACGCGCAAGCGAATTATTGAAATAAAATTAAACCATATGTTAGTCCCGAAATGACCTAGTTTGTGTCGAGTGGACGTTAAACCCCATTTCTCTCTCTCTCTCTCTCATCTAAAATTGTCGATTTAGGACTTAAAATATCGGTCAACTAACTTAGTGTCTGTTCTCTAGTGGAGCTAACTGCAACAAGATGGTTGAAATTCAATGAAGAATTTGTGCCAAATGCTGTCTTCCAGCAAAATTTGGCCGAATGGTTAGTGCATGCGCATTGTATCATAAGGTCTGTCATTGAGTCAACTGGCGTGGTTTTTCAATTCCCCAGTTGTACGTGACAAGGAGTAGAGTCGCCTGTCCAACCTTGTGGGTTTTTTCCAGGTACTCTGGTTTCCTCCCACGGCTAAAGACCCCTACGCACAAGCGAATTATTGAAATAAAATAAAACCATATGTTAGTCTTGAATTGACCTAGTTTGTGTGGACAAAAAAAATAACTGGATGTTAGTCTCTAAATGACCCAAGTATTGTGATCACAAGACAGTAAACTTCATTACTACGATGCAGGACGGAGGGCCTGACAAGGATAGCTGTCTAGTCGTTAGGATGGGACGAAAAACTGAGGTCCCGTGTACACATTGGCGTGCACGTAAAAGATCCCTTGACAGTTGGAATTTGATATATGAGTAGGCCATAGTGCCACTGTCCGGGCAAAATTTCCCTCATAGCACACTGTTTGGTGTATGCCCGTCTTCATTAGCCCAGTTAGGAGCAGAACAGTAGGACATTAAAACCCATTTCATTTCATTTCCATTACTACTATTCTTATTTACTTGGGACGCTAAGAATTTATATTTTACATATACCCTACTCCTCTATTAATATAACATTTTCCTTTTCTATCTGACCTTTTCAATCTGACCTTTTCACTAATGGTTTTATAAAAACAATGTTTCCACAAATTATCTTAAAACACAACCCACATACATTTATTCCAGCAGACTATAAAATATAGATTATCATTATTAAACATCTGGCTAGTTCATCTTTAATTGACATAATAGTCATAGCCTATATTTGGTCAAAAAATTATTACGAAATGTAGACAAAAAATAATCAATATTTATACCCTTTGCAAAAAAACTGTGAAAGTCACTTTTTGATATATTTGGTTAAGACTGTGTCTGGAGATATTCAGTCAAAAATAGAGAAAATCTGGCACTCAAAATAAAATAGTTTTGTGTGATTATACTTTGTCCCTTGCACCGCTGACAAGATGGAACCATGCCAGAAATCTAGATGAACTTTCTTGACCAATACTGGGATCGAACAGGTTAACGAGTCAATGTCTTACTGACTGAGCTACCGTGCCGTGCCTCTTATCATTCAACCAAAGTGTGAAATTAAAAAATAATTTTTTAGAATTTGAAGTTATAGCATGAAGGCATTCATGTTTGATGTGACTCCCATTTTTGTGTCTCAATATTTTATTGTTGTTGAAGATTTTGTTTTAGTCATTGGGTTTAATCTTAAACCCCTAACCCTGAATTTATAGGTTTTAATCTTAAATACCTGACCCTAACCCTAATCCTAAAATGTAAAAGAGATGGAAATAGAAAAGTGAAGTGAAGTGAAGTGAAATGGGGTTTTACGTTCTACTGTTTTGCTCCAAAACTGGGCTAATGAAGACGGGCATACGCCATACAGTGTGCTATGAGAGAAATTTTGCCCGGGCAGCGGCACTTCGGCCTACTCTTATATCGAATTCCAACTGCCAAGGGATCTTTTACGTGCACGCCAATGTGTACACGAGACCTCGGTTTTTCGTCCCATCCAAACGACTAGACAGCTGTCCTTGTCAGGCCCTCCGTCCTGCATCACTGACAAGGGAGAACCAAGCCGAAAAATCTGGATGAACTTTCTCTGCCAATGCAGGGATCGAACACCCGACCTCCAGGCTAGCGAGCCAGCGTCTTACCCACTTAGCCACGTGATCCCCTGAAATAGAAAAGGGAGTCGGATTAAACATGATCGCCTAGCATTAATAGGATAGGATAATAAAATGGAACATTACAATATTTATCAAAATTTATTTAAACTTAATTGCTGGTACATTTCTTTTCATAATGCCTTATAAAATAGAATATATAGTATTTATCTATAGGTTATTTAAAATTTGGGGGGTTGGGTGGCTGAATGGTTAGCGTGTGCGCGCTGTATCATAAAGTCTGTCATTGAGTCAGCTGGCGTGGTTTCGAATCCCCGGTTGTACGTGACAAGGAATAGGGTCGCCTGTCCAACCTCATGGGTTTTCTCCGGGTCCTCCGGTTTCCTCCCACTGCTAAAGACCCCTACGCGCAAGCGAATTATTGAAATAAAATTAAACCATATGTTAGTCCTGAAATGACCTAGTTTGTGTCAAGTGAATGTTAAACCCCATTTCCCTCTCTCTCTCTCTCTATTTAAAATTAATTACTGGTGACTGGTATATTTATTTTCATAATGCCTTATAAAATAAATGATTTAATTTGTCTAATTTATATTATCAGGTGACATTTTGTTTTGGGCTATGCACAGGTAGATAAAATGCTTAGCGTCTTGAAAAAAATTTAAAAGATAAATATTGAAATAACTGTAAGCAATTTATGTTGCACTCAGTCTATTTGAACACTAAAGGGAGATAACTCCAATACTGACTTGGATTCAGACTAATAATCCCCATTGACTTCAATGTTAAATTCATGACATTTATTGGCCTATAACATTTCGATAATCTTTATCTTTATAACAACAAAGAGTCCAATATGTGAAAATCATCGGATATAAATCTGGAAGGGGAGTGACTATTTCGATTTTATTCTAGACTTGGCCAAAGGAATCTTAAAAGGCAGTGACATGATTTTAGTGAGCGATGACCCTAATTCTGTTTACTTCCTGATCCTTCCACCTGAAAATCATAAGTATCCACCAAAACCTCATGAATATTCGCCAAAACCTCATGAATATTCACCAAAACATCATGAATATTCACCAGAACATCATGAATATTCACCCAAAACCTGGCAGAAATTGAAAATTCATACACTCTTCTTCTATACTAGACCTCAAAGTTGACAAAAGTGCCATAATTAAAGGTTGGGGGTGGGGGAAAGAGAGAATTACTTTAAATAGAGGAGGTGTTAAATTTGTCCAACATGAGAACAGGGGAAGTAATTACTACTCTTAGTCTAATTGACATTTTGCCAGAAAAGAAGGTTACTGAGACCTAGCAACACAACATGCTTATATCACATATATCTTTTTGTACATTTTCAGATTTTCTTATTCCACGTAAATAATTCTAGCTCTATGGCCGCATGTATGCATGATGTTTTTTTTAGTAACATGTTTGTCAATGTAGCTTATATTTACAGATGCATATTTTTCTTTAGATAACTAATTAATTTATTAATTTATTCTTGTTCATGCTAAAATATGAACTTGTATATACTTGTACACTGTGTAATATTTACTGATTGTTCTTGCCATAAGTGAGCCTGACATCTCTCTATTGCTCTCTTTCTCTCTCTCTCTCTGCTGTGAGTTAACCTGGCATTTTCTCCTAGTTGAACACTGTCTAAATGTATATGGAGCCACAGTGGCCCAGTGAATAAGACACTGGCTCATAAACGAGGATGGCCTGGGATCGATCCAAGTGTTGGCCGAGAAAGTCCCGCTTATTTTCCCCATTGTCGGTGATAAGGTTGTGGGACCTGGCAAGGAACAGCGTCCAATATTTCAAATGGTACGAAAAATTAGGGTCCTTTGTGTACGTAAAAGTTCCCTTGCCAGTTGGAAATCAGTGTAGAATAGGACACTGCATGGGGTATTCACGTCTTCATTAACACTGTTTGTGCAAAATCAAGGCGATTGACCAACTGGAATAAGTTCGAGAGAATTGCCAAGGTTCCTCATGGATATGTAGTTAACAGTTTACTCTTGGTCAATGTATATCAGTCATATATATATATATATATATATATATATATATATATATAAACCATATATATATTCAACTTATACTGCTCTTCATCAATGTATATCAGTCATATATATAAACATGGTATATATACCTGTATGTATTTCAAGCCTGGACTTTATAGGAACCTGTCACAGACATTGTCCATACAATTATATATTATATAACAAGCCTGTCACAGGTTCCTTATGTCCTGATAAACCTAATGTCCTGATAAACCTAATGTCCTGTTAAACCTTATGTCCAGGCTTGATGTATATAAACCTTAGATATACTATTTATACTGTAAAATCTGCTGTATCATCATTTCTTCCTAAATCAATTTTAAACATTATCAATCAATTAAAGTCTTAAGATGATCTTCATTTGAGAGATTTTAAATCTTTAATAGGAATATCAGTCTAAAAATAGCTGAATTCTGTTCAGTATTTACAAATATACGATAAATTGAAAATATACTGCAGATGATATATAGGATATCATCAACACAAGCCAGCGACACCTGTAATTTTTGCTGAAAAGTTTTGATGGGACTCTTTTTAATCCGATTAAATCCAAACTCGTAAATTATTTCATAATTAAATGTAAAGAAATCTGTGTATGATTTAACATGGATGAAACTAAGGAAGATTTAATATTTTCTCAAATGATGCACAAAAACTTATTAGATCATTGTTATTCGACATTGTAGCAAACCAAAACAAGGAACCAGGTGCCCCTGTGAGAAGGAACAAATATTTTCAAATTATTGGGGGTGCTGAAATCCTTGCACCTTTTCATACCCCCAGGTTCTGCTGAACTTGCTTTAGTTCCCCTCCTTTTTGTTTACTTTATTTTTGGTCGACTTCTTTTTGTTTAATTACTGCTTTTAGTAAGTAGTGAAAAGAAGAAAATGCATAATTCTTACCTGCTGCGTTTTCTTGGAAACCCTGAACTATTTCTTATGTTTACATTCTAGAAAATACTTCCACTTACAAACATCAATAAAACTATGCATTGTCTATATTCAACTGCATAATCGTACCTTCCATTTCCTTGAAATCCTCCAATGTTTTTTTAGGGGTTACAATATCAGATCACATCCTTGAGAGTTCTAGTATGTCTTGTTTACAAACGTTATAAAACTATGCACTTTTCTATATTCAACTTCCATTTCCTTGAAAACCCTCCAATGTTTTTTAGGGGCGGGGGGTTACTATTTCAGATCACATCGTTGGAAGTTTCTGTAAAACTGAGTTTAGATAAAACTGCGTAATAGTTTATAATATGATCTACATCTCTCTATCTCTCTACATCTGTATACTGTAGACAATATTGGCAAGGGGACAAATATTTATTATTCTTGCAACAAACAACACAAGAAACGAGAAGGTTTGAGACATCGGTTAAGTGTCGTTAGGTTACTAAAAATAAAATTATCTGCCACCAATCCCTGGCATTTTATACATTTGCATAATTTGGTTCCATCTTGTGGAACTGAAACGTCGTTTGTCTTGGGAGGCTCCCTGAAATTAAGGATTAGCAACTTTCTGTGATAGTTCTGTGTGGGGAACTATTAGTGAATTTTATCCTTAATTTTATTTGGTGCCTAGATTGAAATAAGGATAGCTTGTGGAACTGAAACTTTCTTCGTCTTGGCAGATTCCCTTAAATTAAGGATTACGCAATTCTGTGATAGTTCTGTGCGGGAGGCAACTATTTAGCAGATATAATATTTTATTAGTTTTGTGAATTTTATCAGGAAATTTATTGAAATAAGAATAACTACCGGTATCAACTATTTTGATAAAAAGAGATTTTCCAAAGTGATACTGAAACTTTGATTACTGTGCTGAGCAACTATTTGGCCAATATTTTATTAGTGAATTTTATTTGGTGTCTTTATTAAAATAAAGATATCTATCAAATATTTTGAGAAAGTGAATTTTCGTGAAACTTTCATGATACTGTGATACTGAAATTTAGATTTCGTGTTGGAATTAAGGATTACGTTACTTTAGTCCAGACATATTTGACATTTGTTGAAGTTGTGTGTGACATATATCACCATGTCTAAACTGTTGAATATATCCCTGAAACCTCTCAAACCATCATCAGCCCCTTCGAAACCCACACCCACACCCGCACCCACTTTAAAATCCATACCAGCAGCCACCGTAAAACCCACGCCCACACCTGCGCCCACCTCAAAACTTACATCAACCACAGTAAATCCTACACCTGCGCCCACCTCAAAACCTACGTCAACCACCATTTCGAAGTCCTTGATTCAAACTAATAAATCTGTTAATATTTCACAGACAAAAGATACGAAGACACAGGTACAAGATGGTGGACGAACGATCACAACTACTACCACCAAAACTGTTACAGGTAAGTTTCTTTATTTTATTTAATTTATTTTTTTTTAGGAAGATATAAGAGTTAATAAAAGATCATAATGCAAAATACAGGTGGATTCTTCTGTGTGGTCTTGCTCATATTCTGAAAACAACAACCCAGACATTGAATGTATGATGTCCCTGCAGTTTATTTTTAACTAAAAATGATTTTATGTGGGAACCATGCGTCCACTAAAGGAATGGAGCTGGAGGTCTTGTTAACACGATTCTTCTATTATACTGAGACTAACATGAAATGGGGTTTAACGTCCTACAGTTCTGCTCCTATACTGGGCTAATGAAGACGGGTATACACCATACAATTTGCTATGAGGGAAATTTTGCCTGGGCAGCTTCAATATGGCCAATTCTTATATCAAATTTTAACTGCCAGGGGATCTTTTACATGCATTCCAATGTATACACGGGACCTCGGTTTTTCATATTATCCAAAGGACTAGACAGCTGTCCTTGTCAGGCCCTCCGTTCTGCACCACTGACAAGGGGAAACCACGTCGGAAAATCCAGATGAACTTTCTCGGCCAATGCAGGGATCGAACACCCGACCTCCAGACTAGCGAGCCAGCGTCTTAACCACCTGAGACTAACATATGGTTATTTTGCATACACTATCAATTTGTATTCAGGTTTTTGTTCCATATGAATAACTAAAAACACACTCTTCTGGTGCTCAGATCGATTGAAATTATTTGAAGCAAACAGTGTAACACCATTGGAACATTTCAATTGTCAACATTCCAAGTGTACAAAAAACAATAGGTGGAGCTGTCGCAAAAAAAAATGGTCTCTCGCATTTGATGTGTAACCAATATCATAAAAATAAAAATTATGATCAAAGTATTCTGTTGACGAGACATAAGGCCCCATTCCTGTCAATAAGATTAAATGATACCCAGGTTACAGTGTGTGTAGTGAAGTAGAATGGTTCTATGTTAGTCCCGGAATGGTCTTGGGATTTAAACAATAAGATTAAATGATACCCAAGTTACAGTGTAGTCCTTGTTATGAGTGTTTGTAGTGGATTGAATGGTACTACGGTAGTCCCGGAATGGTCTTGTGGTTTAAACAATACTTAATTTCGAATATTTACAATACTACTGATATAATGGATTTAAAAAGACTGGTCTTGTATGTATTGAGTGGACATTAAGCAGGCTTTCTCTCTCTGTGTTTATTATGTGTTGGAGTAATGGAGTATAATGATACTACTGTAATAGGGAAAGAGGTAGGCATGCAGATCATATTACTCTATAGGTAGCATGGTATATATATAACTGACAAGACATCGTCTATATAGGTCTATATTGGTACCAGACAACCACATCTTACAAACAAAATATTATTACTAACTGGAAGTCTACGATCCTCCATAAAAATAGATCATAAGTTCAATACAAGATGCCTGAAAATATTAATTTAGTGTTCTTATCTCACTTGTATTTTCATATTTTATAAGGTATGAAAATAACGAGTATAGGAAATCTACATGGCTTATTTTAGGTTTAAATTGTTTTTGTATGCAAGGGGGTTGGATGGGGTGCTTGTTGCATCATAGGGTCTGTCAATGAGTCAAGTGGCGTGGTTTCGATTCCCCACTGGTACGTGACAAGGAGTAGGGTCGCCCGTCCAACCTCATGGGTTTTCTCCCATTTCCTCCCACTGCAAGCAAATTAATGAAATAAAATTGAACCATATGTTTGCCCTGAAATAACCTAATATGTGTCGAGTTGAGATAACTCTCTTTCTCTCTCTTTCTCTCTCTCTCTCTCTCTCTCTCTCTTCCTTTGTCTGACACTCATGTGAACTACATAGTATGCAGTCCAGAAAAGACATACAAACAGGGACAGTGGCAAACCTTTCAGAACCACATAAGATACTTACTAAATACCAAAATTATTCTGAATGTGCTGATAATGCTGAATGTGTTGGCAAGGCTGTATAGTGCTGACAAGGCTGAATGTGTTGGCAAGCCTGTATAATGCTGACAAGGCTGAATGTGTTGATGAGTCTATATATATGTGCTGACATTAAACTTAATTCTATTTCAAACCTTATTACTGACTGAAGTAACTAATATAGACTTATCTTTGTTTCAATCAAACATTTATTACATGATTAGAAACAAGTTTGACATACCATCATATTATTATGATTAGGATCAACGGATTCTTGTAGACTTATGTTAAGAGATGTTATGATTCAGGTGATTCACCCCTGATCATATTGAACTCGTTATTAGGGCGTTTAGATGATATAATTCAGGTAAAACAAGTCACGCTGCTAGGGTGTGAGATGATATAATTCAGGTAATGTGTACATGTAATTCGTCTGTTGGCCAGAAACCAATATCATTTATAGCTGTTAATGTTTCATCTCTCTGATAACTCAAGTGTTAAATATTACATATTGAGCTATATATATTGAGATGACCGTTCTAATCTAGCAGTGTGGGTACTTCATATATCAAGTGTTAAATATTACGGTTATGTCGTAAATGAGTTGTTATTAGCTGGAGTAATTTTACATAATTTTTAACACATCCTCATCTTATCTAGGTTGTTGAACAACTTCATATGTCTCTGATAACCAAAGTCTTAGATATTTCAGTTATTGGCTTCTTGTAAATTCCACAATATTGGGATGGAACGAAAAACTGCTAACTTGAAAAGTTTTCTTAGTCATTTGGATGGGATGAAAAATTTTATTTGTGTTTCTATTCAATACTGATACAAAACCCCGAGCACCAAAAAGAACAGATAGTGTACAATGTCATTTATTTATGACTAGGAAGATGAAATATGAAATTTACCAATGTATAAGTATATACAAATGTTTAATAAAATGAAATCAAATGAAATGTGGTTTAACATCCTACTGTTCTGCTCCGGCTGGGATAATGAAGACAGGCATACGCCATACTATGAGGGAAATTTTGCCTGGGCAGCAGTACTACGGCCTACTCTTATATTGAATTCCAACTGCCAAGGGATCTTTTACGTGTATGCCAATGTATACATGTGAAAATGTTGAACACTGTATTATAACCTTGTTGGTGTACTGAGAAGAGTTGATGAAGTTCAAGTTATTTATAGATGAAGTGACTATTTTAAAATCATCAAGAATGGTTAAATAATACTTTACACTATATAAATAGATGTATGACGTGGATGATGTTCTACTTGCTCAGATCATTGTTCATTAGATTTACGTAACTTGGCGGAATATTGAAAACAAAGCACGATTTTTGCTAACTTAAGCTAAATAGGTGATGGAAAAAATCGTTGTTGATGAAAGAAAAGTCAAAATTAGAAAGCCAGTAAAGAGAGAGAGAGAGAGAGAGATAGAGAGGAGGGTGGGGGGTTTCAATGGGGTTTAAAGTTCACTCAACATAAACTAGGTAACTTCTGGACTTATATAATATGGTTCAATTTTATTTCAATAATTCGCTTGTGCGTAGGGATCTCTAGCAGTGGGAGGAAACCAGAGGATCGGGAGAAAACCCACGAGGTTGGACAGGTGACTGACCCTATTCATTGTTACGTACAACCTGGGAGTCGAAACACGCCAGTTAACTCAATGACAGACCTTATGATTCAACATAACCAACTCCCCAATCTACAGACAATTTGAAAATAAAATTGGTAAAGTCTCTAACTCAATATCACCCACATCTTCGACATTGCAAACACGACTTATTGGTCAATTTAAATCAACATTGATGTTGTTATCTTACTGTGAAAAGATGGGCTTCTGATATCCAATATTTAAGACAAAATGGACATTTTAAAATTGTCACACGAAACGTGTGCCAGAATGCTTTCGAGCACCATATGTAATGAAGCGAAATCTGCACATGGCCTTAATATGTAGACCTGAACAGACCAGCCGCTATCAGGGCAGAATTCCTCAAAAAGCACACTGCTTGATGTATGCCCATTTTCATAGCCAGTTTGGTGCATAAAAGTAGAACTTTAACATTCAGCCCCATTACATTTCATTTCATTGTCCCCCGCCTTTCGAAGAAAGCAGGGGACTATTAAAATGGGTTCGTCCGTCTGTCTGTCTGTCTGTCCGTCTGTCTGTCCGTCCGTCTGTCTGTCCGTCACACTTTTTGGGACACAATAACTCTCTTCCTAATTGAGCTAGAATGTTCAAACTTGGTGTATGTGTTTATTAGGTCAATGCCTTGATGGAGTTCGAAGATGAGCATTTTCCGCTTAGGGTAAGCAGAGATAAGCAATTTGATTGGTTGATGCTTTGGGACACGATAACTCTCTTCCTAATTGGGCTAGAATGTTCAAACTTGGTGTATGTGTTGATTAGGTCAATGCCTTGATGGAGTTCGAAGATGAGCATTTTCCGCTTAGGGTAAGCAGAGATAAGCAATTTGATTGGTTGATGCTTTGGGACACGATAACTTTTAATTGAGCTAGAATGTTCAAACTTGGTGTATGTATTTATTAGGTCAATGCCTTGATGGAGTTCGAAGATGAGCATTTTCCGCTTAGGGTAAGCAGAGATAAGCAATTTGATTGGTTGATACTTTGGGGCACGATAACTCTCTTACTCTCTTCCTAATTGAGCTAGAATGTTCAAACTTGGTGTATGTGTTGATTAGGTCAATGCCTTGATGGAGTTCGAAGATGAGCATTTTCCGCTTAGGGTAAGCAGAGATAAGCAATTTGATTGGTTGATGCTTTGGGACACGATAACTTTAGTTCTAATTAAGTGAGATTGATGAAACTTGGTGTATAGATTTATTATATGAATACCTTAACTAAGTTCGATAATGAACATTTTTTGCTGAGGGTAAGCAGAGTGATAAGCAATTTGATTGGTAGAAACTTTGGAACACAATAACTCTCCTTCTAATTGAGGTAGAATGTTCAAACTTGGCATAGGTGTCTATTAGGTGAATGATTAAACTTGATGTATATGTAGATGTTCATTAGGTGAATGTCTTGACTGAGT